GTCTTTGCACTGTTGGTGTTCGGCCCGTCATTAGTGAAGCTCTTCCTTCTTCCTGCTCGGTCGGCCCACAGACGTCCTCTGAAGCCCAGAAGCTTTCAGCTGCTCACCTCCAAACAGTCCAGCTCAGTCGGTTTTCTGACTTTTGAACAATAAGCAGTAAAGTTGTGGAGCTGATGACGATGTTTCTGCCGCAGACATCGACGAGTGTCTGAGCGCGTCGGCGTGCGAGGCCGACCGCGTGTGCGTGAACACCGTCGGCGCGTTCAGGTGCGACTGTCGACCCGGGTATCGGACCTCCGGCCTCGGGAGGCAGTGCAGAGGTGGGAGCAGAACACGTGACACGAACCCGAACGCTTCGGCTCCTCGGGTCGGTTTTAATTCTCCGTTTGTGTCCCTCAGACATCAACGAGTGTCTGGAGGGAGACTTCTGCTTCTCCAGAGGCGAGTGCGTCAACACGCCCGGCTCGTACACCTGCGTCTGCTCGCAGGGATTCACGCTGAGCGACAACCGGACCAGCTGCCTCGGTGAGTCCAGGCGGCGCCGAGCTGCTGCTTCGTCACACAGGTGTTCCTAACAAAGTGGTCACTGACTGTTTCTGTTCTCCAGACGTGGACGAGTGTGCGAAGCCGGGCGTTTGCTCAGACGGCCGCTGCCTGAACACCGAAGGCTCCTTCCGGTGCCAATGTGACACCGGCTTCACCGCCAACCCCGAGAGGAACGCCTGCCTCGGTACGCCAACACAAAGCCGACTGGACCTGGAGCTCTCGTTAACCCTCCAGTCTGTGCCCATATAAGGTTCTAACCGAACGTCCTCACCGTCCAGCTATGCTCTCAGCTTTCTCTCCCGAAATATCCCCAAAGTGACCTCACTTCACTTAAATATCCCCGTTTTCCTTAAATATCTTTAATCACCCTATAAGGCTGCTTCAGTCTTTATCTCTTATCTTAAACACTCGTCCTGTTTTTTCCAGAACAGTCTCTGCTGTTCAGAGTTTCCACCATTTGATGTGATAATACTCTTAAATGTTCATATATTAGCTTGTACATCAGCTTCCCTTAAATATCCTGATTGTCCTTAAACATTCTCCTTGTGTCCATTCACGGTCTTCACCTCTTAAATATCCCACCTGGCGCTTTAATGTCCTCTTTTGCCTTAAATATCCTCAATAAGTCCTTTAAAATCATTCCTTAAATGTCCTCACTACTCCTAAATTTCCAAACTGTCCGTAGATAGCATCCCTTAAATACTCACTTCCCCTTAAATATCCTAACTGTCCTTGAAAACCTCCCTTAAATGTCCTTAAATATATAAATTGTCCTTTAATATCCCCCTACAACGTCCTGATTTCCTATAAATATCCTGATTGTCCTTAAATGTTCTCCTTGGGTCCATTCACGGTCCTCACTTCTTCTTGAATATCCCATCTGGCACTTTAATGTCCTTAAATATCCTCAGTAAGTCCTTTAAGATGTCCCTTAAATGTCCTCACTACTCCTAAATATCCAAACTGTCCTCAGATAGCTTCCCTTAAATCCTCACTTCCCCTTAAATATCGTAATTGTCCTTAAATATCCAATATAAACGCCCAAACTTTTTCTAATATCATAACTGTCCTTCAACATACTTCCTTAAATGTCTTCACTTCCCTTTAACATCCTAATTGTCCTTGAAAGTCTCACTTCCTTCGGTTATCCTAATTACCCTGAAACATCTCTCTTAAATGTCTTTATTTCCCTCAAAAATTCTAATTGTCTTCAAATATCATCAACTTGAGATCTCTTAAATGTCCTAATTATCTCTAAATACACTCCCTTAAATGTCCTCGCTTCCCTTAAATATCGTAATTGTCCTTAAAAATCACCACCCTGATGTCCTGAGTCGTCTTAAATATCCTAACTGTCCTTGAAAACCTCCCTTAAATCTCCTTTAGCCCCTTAAATGTTTAAATTGTCCTTAAATATCCCCCTACAATGTCCTAATTTCCCTTAGATATCATGATTGTCCTTAAATATCAATATCTTCAACTGTTCTTGGAAGTTTTCACCTTAATGTTCTCGCCTCCCTTAAATGTCTTCACTTCTCTAAAATATTGTAATTTTCATAAAATATCCAGATTGTCCTTAAATATTTTGTCCTCTTTTGTCTTAAATATCCTCAATAAATCTTTAAATATAGTCCCTTAAATTTTCTCACTTCCCTTAAATATTGTAACTAGCCTTAAATATCTCACTGAAACGTCCAAACTTTTCCTAATGTCCAAACTGTCCTTCAGCATCTTCCTTAGATGTCCCCACTTCTCCTAAATATCTTGATTGTCCCGAAATAGTCTCACTTTAAGGTCCTCAGTTCCCTTAAGTATCTTCATTGTCCTTAAATATCTCATTTAAGTGTCTTAATTTCCCTTAAATATTCTCCCTTAAATGTCCTATCTTTTCTCGAATATTCTAGCGGTCCTTAAATATTCTCACTTTAAGGTCTTCATTCACCTTAAACATCCCGGCTCTCCTTAAATATCTCCCTTAAATGTCCTCACACCTCCAGTTTCTTGTATCTTTGTGAGGACCTCCAGACCTTTGAACCTCTTCGTCTCGTCTCCAGCTAACCCTCTTTCTTCTGTCTCTCCGTCTCCCAGATGTAGACGAGTGCGTCTCGTCCGGCGGCTCGGTTTGTGGCTTGCAGCGATGCGAGAACACGATTGGCTCGTTCCGCTGCCTCACTTCCTGTGAGCCGGGCTACCAGGTGGTGCCGGGCGGCGGCTGCGTCGGTGAGTCTGAACACCAACACCGAGACGCTTCCTCTGCCGGCGGAGGTTTAACAACGTCGGTGTCTCCTCCAGATGTTAACGAATGCACCAACACCACGGTCTGCGGAGAACACGCCTTCTGCCAGAACCTCATAGGAACCTACCTGTGCGTCTGCGACCAGGGGTTCATCTCCACCGCCGACGGGAAGGCCTGCGAGGGTACGTGAGTCCTGGAGGAGTACTTGGATACTTTAACAGTACAAAGTCATGTGCTGAGAATTCAGGAAACAACGTGACTGAGAGTAAAGACAATCAGGACGAAGACGGGAAGAC